TGTGTCTCTCTCTGTAAAATAAATAAATAAAATCTTTAAAAAAAATAAAAATAAGTTCATGTTTCTTAGTTTGACATTCAGGGCTTTTTTTTTTTTTTTTCCACATTCTGATCTCAGACCGTCTCTGGTTTCTCTTGCTGGAAGTCTTTGCTATTCTTGCTGTTCTTCAAAAATTCTGCTTTATTAGCAACCCTCCTCTTTTATGAATTCTACCCATTCTTTTCGGCTTGCCTCAAGCATGGCCTCTTTTAAGGCTTTGTTTGCTCATGTAGTGATCATTCTTCTCTTCACTTAGTCAATAGTTTATTTGTTAAATGAATGCCTGATCTACTAGGTGCTAGGGATACAATGATGAATACAGTCCTTCATGAGTTTATGGCCAGTAGACTTTCTAGTGCTCACTTAACATGTACCTAAGTATGGGGGCGCCTGGCTGGCTTAATTTGGATTCGTGAGTTCGTGCCCCACATTGGGTGCAGAGATTACTTAAAATAAAATCTTTATTTAAAAAAAAAACCAAAAACATTTACCTAACTGTGGAAGGTAGTATGTAATATTGGATCAGTCACTAGCACAACCTCTAGCCTATTCATTCATAGTCTCAAATGTTGAATTGCAAGTATTTTTTTTTATCAAATAGTAAATTCCTTAAGGGATAACAGCTGCTAGCTTTAGCTTTGTTTAATTCATCCTCAAAATTTAATTTCCCAGTATTAGCTATGACAGTGTGCCAATCAGAAAAGGTACAAAGAGCATGTTTTCCTCTGATCACTTGAATTCTTATCACATTAGAGTTAATAACCATATTTTCACTAGTTTCCCAACTAATGTCAACATAAGTTATCTCTAGATTTGATTAAATTGTCCAGAGAAGAAAGTTCTTGTACCATGTATGGATTTATGCAATATGTGAAATGTTCTAAATATTGATTAGAAAGAGTGACTAGCACTTACTGACTTGGACCCATTCTTCAGGTAAAAGGTGATATCTTCTGACATCAGTACTAATTGTACTAATATTTTATTTACAGGTATTCTTCCAGAGAGCAAAGCCCTAAGGACTGGATCTCCCTGTGCCTACTTTATGATCAGGAATTCCAGTTAATTTATAAAGAAGCAGTTTTGTGTGCCATTCACACTGGTTTTTTTAACATTGCTTTAAGCTTATTGCAGTGTATGTATTGGGATTTTTCTGTAAAATGGGTGTAATTTTCTCTGAATACAGGTATGTAACAACAAGAGAAGTTGCTTGCATGCCAGTTCAAATTGTTCCATATAAAAATGCTGTTAAGAGATACAGCACGGTTATCCTAGTACCTTTTTTTTTTTTTTACGTTAAATCCTTGAAACGTTAAATCCTTTATAAAGACCATAGCAGGAAAACAGTGTACTTTTTTTCAATTGCTAAATATAAAATGTTTGAAAATTTTAATTTTCTTTTACATGTGCCGTCTCAAAATTTGGGGGGGAATATAATAAATCAAAACTAATTTTTTGTAGATAGCCATTACATTTCTTTAAACTGTTTTCGATGCCAATGTGTGTTCTACAAAAGAGAATGGTTTCATAAATTAACTGATTTAAGAGTAGGTACCGGTGTTACACACTTTTTATAAAAAAATAAAAATAAATTTTACATAGTGAAATCTACTAAGTCTTTTTTGGCATTATTATTATAAATACTTTAGTCTTATTTTCTCATCTCTCCCTGATTTCCCATTTAAAGAATTGCACATATAAGCTTATAGATGATTTATCTATGCTCCCAAAAGGTGACATGCAACTTAGTTCTCTTCAGTTCTTTTTAAAATGCTTAAAAAAGCCTATTTCAATCTAGTGATAGAACTTAAAATCCACTTTTTCCCTCTTTTATTGGATTTACTTAGGACACTATACCTATGTGTTAATGATGCTTACAAGTAGCTACCCATTTAGTTACTAGAAGTACTTTTCCCCATTTTTATTCACAACTCTGTAAGAAAAGCAAGAGAAAAAATAATAATCAGTAAGTATATAAGAAATTAAGAGAGGAGGGATAAACTGAACAGCAGAATTAAACTGCTACAGTCATTGGGGAGGGTATGTGTTGTAATGAGCACTGGATACTATATAAGACATGAATCACAGACCTGTGCCCCTGAAGCAATGCATTCTATGTTAATTGAATTAAGAAAGAAAGAAGGGAAAAAGAAAGAAATGACTACAGTCATTAAGTTTAAATTCTAAAAGCTCAAGTAAGATTTTAGGGGAGGGTTGTTGTTTTTTTAACCTTTGGCCCATGTGGTTCCCCTAAAGGTTTCATGATGGGTTTCAGTGATCTATATAACTCCCTAAAACTATTCTAAATTATATACATAAATCTTTTCTCATGTTAATTCCAGTAGTGATTTTAAACATTTTCCTTACATCGTAGAATAAAAGTACTAAACTAACGGTTAGTTGTTAAAAAAAAAAAGGTGGGTGAAATGTATATTATGCTTAAATAAAAATGTTAAGAAGAGGTAAGTGAGGGGGACCTAGCTGGCTCAGTTGGGTAGAGCATAGGACTCTTGATCTCAGGGTCATGAGTTCAAGCCCCACCTTGGGCATAGAGCTTACTTTTTTTTAAGATTTTTATTTGAGAGAGCATGAGCAGGGGGAGGGGCAGCGGGAGAGGGACAAGCAGACCCTGCTAAGCACAGGGCCCGATGTGGGGCTGGATCCCAGGACGCTGAGATCATGACCTGAGCCACCCAGGCACCCCCATAGAGCTTGCTTTAAAAAAAAAAAAAAACTTTCTCTCTTAAAAAAAAAAAAAAGGAATACCTGGGTGGTTCAGTCGGTTAAGCATCCTACTCTTGATTTCGGCTCAGGTCATGATCTCGGGGTGGTGGGATCGAGTCCCACGTCAGGCTCTGCACTAAGTGTAGAGCCTGCTAAGATTCTCTCTCCCTCTCCCTCACCCCTCACCCCTGCTCGCTCACAAGTGTTCTCTCTCTAAAGAAAAATAAAATGGGTATGTGAAAGCTTGAGTGTTTCATTGATAAGTTTCTCTGTACAGTGGGAAAGATCATTGCATCTAGTGCAATAGCACTGTTTTTTTAAAGTATACTAACAAGTCAGCATAGTGCCTAAGAGCTAAGACAGGCTGCAGATTTAAGAAGGTTCAGATAACATTTCTGCTAGCCACTGGCTTTAAGAAATTTAAGTAAGTTAAATAACTTCTCCATACCCACTTCCACATCTGTAAAATGGGGAAATAATGGTAGCTACCTCACAACCAAGTTTTTAAGCATGAATAGCTTACTAAAGTACCGGAGCATGAAGGCTTCTTACTAGCTATGGTCACTGTACTATTAGTTACATATATGTAAAGATGACGCCTCCTTTTTCCCTGTTTAAAGCTCTTCAAGAGATTCATGTATGTTCAGAGCCAAGAGAAAACAAGACATGGAAATTAAGAGTCTGCAATAGAAGATACACTTCATGTTCTATAGTCATGTACAATTCCCATCTTTCCCTGAAGTTACCCAGAGCACTTTAGAGAGTACCATAGCAATTAGGAAACTCTGCTTCATCATGAATTACTTACTTGTATTTAGTTTCCAAAAACAAGCACCCAAATTGTCACAAGAGTGACTCTCACCTCTTGACAGGTGAGGTCACTGAGGCAAAAGACAGGGATTTGTGTAACTTGACTATGGAACAACAAGGGTTTTATAATGCCTGGTCTAGTTCTGTGCCAAACAGTTTATTTAAAGCCTTAAATGTTAATGTTAATTGGTTCACAAGCAGCTCTACCTTTAAGAAAATACCTGGTATTTCAGTGGTAAATATGTGAATCAAGTCCTTTGGCTCAGCTAATTACATTTTTTCCCATAAAACTTTTGAGCTGTAAGTCTTAACTGTTATAAGGAACCTGGACAGGTCCCCTTCTTGGCATTAGATACAGGATTGAAATTGGTTGGAATTGTAAGCAGTAAATAGATTTGTTGTTAGAATGGTTCCATCTAACATTGGTTAATTAAATGGTTCCATTTAAACATTGTTCAAAGTCTAATAAAATAACTTCCTTTGTAACAACGCATTACTGTGGGCTTGTTATCTCCATTGTGCATAGGACACAATAGACCTGGGGGGGCGGGACGTGCTTAGAGTCAGTATTTGGTGGGGACAGTTGGGACTGCAACTCCAGATCTGTTCCATTCAAAAGCCTCTGGTTTCCTATTTCATTCCTGGTTGCTGTAGTTCTCAACTGGGAAGAATTCTTCCTCTTCGTCTCTAAGTTTAGCCCTGAATCAGCCCGAGTCTGTGACCTCTCAGTATGTTGAGAAAGGCTGCAGTGCAGTCCGTGGGCAGAAGGGATCACTCTAGGGAGTAGCTACTCTTGAGATCTCGGCGGCACGAATATTTCAGGACGTGATTTCAGTCAAGTTCTCCAATACTGCCATTTTCCAAAATACCGTGGAAAGAGGGAATTAAGACAACGTTCACTCCTGACTTCCTCACTCCACAACGCCAAAAAAAAAAAAAAAAAGTAAAAAGGAATTAAATGAGCTTATTTACATTAAGAATTTCACGTCTGGATTATTCTGAGGCGATCATGGGACTCCACTGCAGCCAACACAGCCTTTAAAACAGTTACAGATCTATCCCTCCAGACTATGATATTCCCCAGTGACAGGCTCGCACGTATCCAGCATTCTGCACACCTGTGACTATTAGAATGTTTGCAATCAGGAGTTCAATGTCTGTCTTCTCCACTATCATCGCACGCCGTACCCTGTCGTTGGCTGTCGAGGACGGGGCGGGATTTGCAGTTCTAGGAATCCGAAACTGCTCACTGCGCAGGGCTCCCTAGCTTCACGTTTAGGGTGAGGGAGGGACAGGCAGAGGGTGTGGACCAGGTCGGACTCCAGACAGGCCCCAGCCTCCCCGCCCCCCGCTACAGAGAACTGGAAGCCATCCGCCGCACCAGTCCGTGCGGCAGGATAGGCGGCGGAGGCCGAGGCTGGTCCGGCGGGCGTGCGCACGCGCACCCGCGCGCGCCGGCCGTCGGTCACGTGGCCCCCGGCCAGGGCTCGCGAAGCCGGAAGTGTCCCGGGGCTCAAGGAGGCCGCGGGAGCCCGCTGGAGGTAGTGCGACGGAGACCGGGCGCGGTAAGTGGGGCGGCGCGGGCGCAGGGCCCGAGCTGCGCGGGGCACGGGCAGCGAAGCCGGCATGGGCCGGCGAGGAGCGCTCCCTCCCCCTGTGGGAAATTGGGATGCTGAGTCAGAGCGGGGGCGGGGCGGGCGACCCGAGAAGCCCAGCACTAGCCTAGGCCGAGCCCTGCCGGGACCTTGGCTGGGTGGACGCCGCCCCCCGGGGGTCTGGGGCGCCCGAAACCCGGTGGAATGGTCGCGCGGGCCGGTCCCTTCCATCTCTACTCCTCGCCCCCTGGGCGGCCCTATGACCGGGGCCCTCCCGGGTCAGCGTATAGCGATGTTAGGCACGAAGAAAGAGGACGTGCCCGTTACCGGGTATGGGCCTTGGCCGCCCCGGAGAGACGGATTCCCCGTTTTTCTTAAGAGTTTGACCGCTTTCTACCCCTCTTTATGAGCGTTGACACTATCGGCAGTGTTTAAATGGTTCGATTTTTCAGATGATTGAAGAGACGTTTCGTTAGGGTTTTAGTGATGACAACGGCGGGGATTGACTAACCGGAAGCTGGAAGCAGAGGACGTCTATTAGTATACACACATATAATAGGAATTCCCAAACATTTCCTTTGGGAAATGGCTTACGGGTTTATCTTCCAGTCCGTTTCCCAGGTATTTTCAGTAGGTGGCCTCAAAACAAGGTCTGCCCGTTAATTGTCCAGTGCAGAACCGAAGACCCACTTTTTTCACTCTAGAACACTTAATTATTAACATAGTGGTGAAGTTTGGAAATCCTTGAACTTTGTCCATATGCCTGTCATCAAACCTGTTTTCATCTGTGGACAAATAGTAACTTTCGTTTTGGACAGTATGAGGAAGTAGGCTTAAGGCAGTCACTAGTAACATACTTGTTGAGTGCCTGCCTATAGTGTATCAAAATTTGGTGAAGATTTATAAAGCAAACACCCTGTGGATGTGCTGAGTCATGTTTTAGCATGCTGTTATTGTGGGTTTATTGGAAGATAGTTTCAAAAGACGTTTCCCCCTCATCATTGTGAAACTAGGCTTATATCTTCATGTAGAAAGCAGATATCTTAGCTGAAAAATGTGCTTATGTATTATTCACTAGATACGTGTAGGTACCTAATGACACTATTTTACATTTACAGTTAGCACAGTTAGAGTAATTAGGGAAGGTTTTTCATTATTGAAAAATATTTGGAAATATTGAAAAGATAATTGAGAAGTTTATTATTATTAACCTCAGCTGACAGATGTGTATTCCTTACTTGTCAAAAGTGGATCTTATTTTTATTGCTTATTTCCAATAAATTTCTGTAGATAACATTCCTTATCTAAACTAGATGGGTGGTAAAATTAGATATCTTAGTATGTAAGATTGTTGAAAATTGGCCATTCTTTATGTTCCTAATCCTTCTTGGAATAATGTAGTCATTAATTCATCACTGAATACCTAATCTGTTCTAATGGACTATAAAGGGATATCAGGATCTGTTTTGATCTGATATTACAGCAGGTTTAAGGTGGCATGGTGAGATTTTTATTCCAACATGGAGCTCAAGTATTTTTAACATCCTTATAGTGATACAACTTTTCAGTATTAAAGGAGAAGGTTGGGTAGTGGTTATGCTTTTTTCTTAAATTGACTTTATTTTTTAGAGCAATTTTAGGTTTACAGCAAAATTGAGCAGAAGGTACAGAGATTTTACTTAATACATAATAGCCTCCACTTGCTTGTTTTTTAAGACTTGGTAATATACACTTAATATGCATATATTTATATACTTGGAGATTGGATAATTTATCTTTTAGTTTCGGAAGAGTTAGTAACCTTTCAGGAATAAAAAATTTTGCACCTTTCCATTATGATTGTTGGAAACTGTGCAGATAAAATTTTACCTTATGGAAATGTTATGCCATTGTTTTCATTAGTGTATCCCTGCCCTTAAAGAAACAAAGTAATTCTTTTCTATATTTCTGTTATATTTTACATTATTACTTTAAGACACTTTATAATTCATCATTGACTAATCTTTCAAAACATTTGAAGAAGGTAAGTGGCCCATATCACTCTCACTAAGAAAGATAAAATTAGAAAGGAAATAGATATTTCTGCAGCCCTGTGATAAGTGAGTTAAAGTGAATATATGTCATTGGTTAATGTTTTTTCAGAGCCCACATGGCATTTTAGTCTTTAATATTATTGGTCATAGAGATTTTTACATTAGACTGTACACTTCAGTTTAGCAATAGCTAAGTGTGATCTTACTGGAGACTAAAAATAGCTAACATTTGTTCCTTAAATGTATTGTTCCCTTAAAACAAACATGCAGATTTTTTCTTCTCTCTTAGTTTAACAAGAAGATCTCCTGACCAAGCCGAGATGCAGAGCACTTCTAATCATCTGTGGCTTTTATCTGATATTTTAGGCCAAGGAGCTACTGCAAATGTCTTTCGTGGAAGGCATAAGGTTGGTTTAGAAGGCTTTTTATCACTTGTGAAGGCTTTTTATCACTGTATATGTTTTCTTTTGAGAAGCACACTTGTACTAAAACGTGAGACTTGATGTTTTTGCTTATACTGTCTAAAGAGAGTTCCTGTTTTTGTGGTTCATGTATAGCTTTTGTTAGAGTTAGTGATATCTACCCAGTGGTGGCAGAGGTTAGGTGTTGGGTGTGGAGAGAAAAAGGAGATTGGTTTAAACAAGGGACTAGGAAGATTAGTGTAGATAAGTGTGCCTTTTGATTCTTTCCCCAACCTATTCCTCCTATGGTAGGGAATGATCTCACTAGCAGAGAAGTTCCGTATGGCAGGGCATTGGGGTGGGCTGCAGACGAGGGAGAAGTATGGGAAGACAGATGTATAGTTCGAGGGGAATCCACAGATGATTCTCATATGCTATACTACAGCTTCATGTCGCAGTAAATAGCATCCTACAAGGTAGAGTGGAATAAAATAAGATTATCAGCAAGGAACCCACACTTAAAAGGTATGAGGTAAACAGAACTTGTTAGTGGAAGTGAGAATAGAATAAAAGGGCTAATCTTGGAGGCACTTGAAGAACCAAAAAGACTTTCTGTCAGATTCTATATTGGAGGATGAAATTAAAGATAATTAAAATAATTTAAAATGAAGAAATTTAACATCATTAAAGTTTCTATTCTGGGAAGGAAGCTGGAAAAATAATACAGAAAAAATTATTCTGTAATGCAAACAATCCACTAATTTTTCAGCACTGTGAATTTTTTTTGAGCTAAATGATGTTCAGAGGCCTTTAAATTCTTATTTTCAGAAACAAGAGCTTTAAATATTTTAGTAAGGAGGAGTTTCATGTTTTCCTTCCTGTTTTCCTGTAGCCTGTGATTGCCAGTCAGTTCTGTCCGAAACAGTAAGATAAACTTTCGGAGGGGAGGGGCTGTTTGGGCTGTTTCCTCTGGGGAGAGCCGATGACTGTAAACAGCCTCTGGTTCCTAGAAAATGAATCAGAAGTGTCATACAGCTTTTAGCCTTTTTCACTCTGATTCTAGGATTGTCCACAGGTTCTGGGTCCTTGATTCAATTTCTTATGGTCTCTGGATCCTTTATCAAGTCCATTGTGATCAACTTTGGATATTCCTATCCTAAAGATTGTTTTTGTTTTGTGCCCTGTGCCAAGAAGAAGAGAAATTGAGGGGGGGGGGGTGACACAGGATTTAGCGTTGAGACCACATCTGACTATCCATCTTCCTGTGACCCAAGTTAACTTAACAAACTTTAATAATCACTTGGTATGTGACAGGCACTGTGATGGGTCTGGTGAACATAACTGCAAATAATGTACAGTACCTTCCCACAAAGAGTTTTGGGTTTAGTAGCAAGGTTGGCATTGGAAGGGACAGAAATTGGAAAATGATGGAATGATAGTTACTTAGATACTCAAGTGTCCTTCATTTAAGTTCCTACATATAGTAGGCATTCTGCAAATATTTGTGGAATGAATGAATGAATGAGGACAGATTAGACCACCTGAAGATAACCTGAAGTTCTTCAAAGGAAACGAGAATGTATTTTATCCAGAAAGCCTAAAATAAGGATTTGAGAGTCATAGGAATTTACTTAAAAGATTGTGAAGAGTCAGTTTAGTATTCAGTATCTAATATTCTTCCCAGGGATGTATTTTGAGAAATCATGTTTGTTCTCAGTGACGTCAGTTCCAAAGGTTTAGGACTATACCCAAAAAATCCTGCTTGCCCTTAATAACTATTAAAGGATTTTTAACCATGATATTAGTAAACCTTTTTATATTACTTTCTTAATCTGTCTCTTTCTCAGTGAGTTTCCCCAGTTGCTCATCTGTTAGGATTCTCCTACTTTTGGATTTAGTTGGAAATAAGTATCCTCAAGAAAAATCTTGGTGGTGTAGTTGGGTGGTGTAGATTTAGCAGTGTTCTTACTCTGGTTGAACAAATGGAAAAACAGTATAATTAAACTGTGGTTTGGTTGTTATTCTGTTTTCATATTGTCTGAAAACGAGTAGTAGGCAAGAGTGAGGGAGGTGTGATCACGTCACAGAGATGGTGGTCTCCAAATAGTGATCTTGAAGAGTGGTTGTGAAGCAGTTAAATGGTTTTAAGAAAAAAGATCATGAGATTCTGAAGTGAGAAAAAGAACATGAGATTCTGACAGAAAAAGATTGTGAGCTTCTGAGGTAATCATGGCTATGAGCAGTGAATCTGTATGGAAAGCTGTGGAGAGGGTATCAAAGCAGGCACAGCACGGAGATCCTGACAGACAGGCAGCCATGAAATATGTTAAGGCACGTGGTGCTTGAACCCCGAAGTCAAAGAGGAAATGATCTTTCCACTTGCTCCAGGGAAGTTCACCCTTGGGTTATGGGGAAAGTAAGATTAAACTCAGAATCTGGACTGACCACCAAGGAGAGGCTTGCCAATTAGAATGACTGGAAGGAAGTGGAGAAGTCTGAAAGAGAGCCTTAAAGTAAAGTTAATATGAAAGGGGCGCCTGGGTGGCTCAGTCGTAAAGTGTCTGCCTTCGGCTCAGGTCATGATCCCAGGGTCCTGGGATCGAGGCCCACGTTGGGCTCCCTACTCAGTGGAGAGTCTGCTTCTCCCTCTCCCTCTGCCTGCCTCTCTACCCACTTGTGCTCTCTCTCTCTCTGTCAAATAAATAAAATCTTTTAAAGAAAGTAAATGAAGTTAATATGAAGAACATAAGAAGGTAACATTTACCTGAAATGAAGCATATATTTGTACCTCTAAGAGTCCCTCCCAGCTACAGCTGTGCATTGTAATTTTCTGTGCAATCTACTTCAGTATGCCATGAGAGAGTGAGAGTGGGGTGCTGCAGGTATATCCATAGAGAAAAGGAAATGTCTTTGATCCTCCAAGAGAAGGCTCTATAAAGAAACAGTCTGCCCTAGTCATCTAGGTGAAGTCGCAGAAAGATCTCCAAGGCAGCAGTGATGCAATCCAATGAGGATAGGCTACTTAAACCCAACCGACTCCAGCTCCTACTTCCATACGCACATCTATACGCACATCTACATGCACAGTATTGCAGCTAGGGAGTGTTTCTTTTTTTTAAGATTTTATTTATTTGACAGAGAGCATGCACAAGCAGGGGGAAGGACCAAGGGAGAGCGAGAAGCAGGCTCCCCACTGAGCACAGAGCCCAGCATGGGTCTCGATCCCAGGACCCTGGGATCATGACCTGAGTTGAAGGCAGACACTTAACCAACTGAGCCACCCAGGCATCCCTACTTTGAGCTTCTTAATGAAATTTCATATATGGAGTATAGTTTTCAATCTCTCTTTTCCTGTTTAGTTTTTAAATTATTAGACTTGGAGAAACCCTTCTAAATTCCACTTTCTTATTTAAAATATACTTTCACATTTGGTATTATTAGAGCTCTTATATGTCAGTGACTGTCTTTGCCTCATGTATCATAATGGAAGCTTTTTCTTTTTTTTAACTTTTATGTATTTATTTATTTTTAAGTAGGCTGTAGGCCCAGTGTGGGGCTTGAACTCACGACCCTGAGATCAAGAGTTGCATGCTCCACTGACTAAGCCAGCCAGGCACCCCGGAAGCTTTTTAATATGAAAGAAAATAGCCTTTTCTTCATTCCAAAGCATACAATTTGAGAGAAATTTGGAGCAGCTGACTGATTTTAGCTTTAAAAAGAAATCAAGAGGGGCGCCTGGGTGGCTCAGTTGGTTAAGCGACTGCCTTCGGCTCAGGTCATGATCCTGGAGTCCCGGGATCGAGTTCCGCATTGGGCTCCCTGCTCGGCAGGGAGTCTGCTTCTCCCTCTGACCCTCCTCCCTCTCATGCTCTCTGTCTCTCATTCTCTCTGTCTCAAATAAATAAATAAA